TTACAATCTCCCTGCTCTTGATTTTTTAAGTATCATTCATTCTTTTAATTTTACTCAACATGTGTCGGGCCAAACTCATCACTATGGCCACACTTTAGACCTGGCCCTTAGCTTGGGTGTGAAGATATCCACTGTAGAAATTAAGGACATCTTTATATCTGATCATCAGGTCATTAATTTCCACTGAACTACATGCTGTTAGTGTTGCCCAGCCTGAAAATGGATGTGAATTGAAAATAAAGGGGTAAAAATGGATGTGAAATAGAGTGATAAATATTCAAGTGATTTGATTAATTCAAAATCAATTTGATTAAAACAGTAGCGATAGAATGAAAACATCACTGTTTTTATTTATCAATCATAATTTACTACCCAAAATTGACATTAATCATTTAAAGAAGGGAGTCTCAAGGGTTAAAGTAACAAAAAGTAAATAAAATGGAGGTGATGAAATTGCATGTGAATTGAAATACAGAGTGGTTAAATTTAAGGTGAATTGAAATATAGAGTAATAATTTGTCAGCTCATGTGATTAACTTGATTTACCACTTATCGTTCTCAACACATCCTTCTGTCATTCATCGTTTACTGCGTGTAATTTTTGTTCTGTCCTGCTGAAACTGTGAATCACAAACCACACCCCCTGACAAAATTGTAGTATTTCATTTATGTGTTAGCAATAATTGGCAGGTATCACTGTTGGGATAAATAGTTAGCACAGCTAACTGTACATGTTAACTGAACGGGAGGGTATACTGACCATTTTTAAAGAGTCATGCACAGAAATCAAAATGTATTTGATTCATTCTTTATTGTCCGTGTAGGAAATCTGTTTTCACAGAGAGCACCTTCAACAGGAATTCTTCACACAAACTACACATATAACCCAGGAGTGCTATCATTAATTTGTCTGTGAGTTTAACTCTCTTAAAGCACAGGGTACAAATCTTGCCTTTTTGTAGAGCAGCGGTCTATATCTACAGCCAGATGGGAGAAGGGTGAAGCATGAGTTGAGAGGGTGGCTGGGATTTTGTACTATGGTAATTGCTCTATGAGCAGTGTTAGTATTAATGAGGGTTCAGAGCGGGAAGACCTATTATTTTGGAGGAGGTAAGAAATTTATTGCCCAGTCTTTCACAAAACAAACCTGCAGTTTAAATGAGCAGAGCGCCTCTAAATGTGGTGCCCTCTTCAGTTCATTTAGCAATGTGTCCCCTGATATCTCCTCCACTAATGATCTCTCTCAACTATTTTAATTCCCTCTGTTCCTTAACCCTTGATCTCATAGCTCCTCTGAAAAACAAACAACACTTAAAATCTGCAAAGCAACCCTGGTTAAATGCAGATATCAGAAGCTGCAAACGGGAATGCAGAAAAACAGAACGCAGATGAAAAAGAAATAAAAAAAAATCAGGTCTCCGGGTCCATTTCACGGCCATGAAAGAGTTACTATATTCGTACAATAGTTTGGTAGTTTTCTTTTTAAGACTCTCGATCTGTTGGTGAACCCTGCCTCTCCCTGTGCCTCTGCTGATTGCAATGCAGATTATGAGATATTTTTAACACACTTTGTCAGTAAGGTGGAATTATTAAGAGCCAGTATTAGCCCAAACCATGCCTTTTTAGATGTTGTTCACCCTACCCAGGATCCTTGGAGTTCCTTTTCTTCTATTACCATGGCAGAACTTATGGAAACTATGTTTAAGATGAAGCCTTCCTCTAGCTCTCTTGATCTGATTCCTGCAAAGTTTTTAATAGAAGTTTTGGAGTATATCAGTCCACACCTGCTTTTAATTTTTAACAGCTCATTATCTACCAGTTGTGTCCCGGTCTACTTCAAGACGGCATGTGTATAACCTGTCCTAAACCTAGCCTTGACCCCAACATCCTCGATAACATCCGCCCAATCTCTAAACTGCCTTTTCTTTCAAAAACCCTTCAAAAGATAGTTTCTAAGCAGCTCAGTAAGCATCACAGTACTGAGACAGCACTCTTGAAAGTTACTAATGACCTCCTAATGAACGCTGATGCGGGCAAATGTTAAATACTGATTTTGCTGGATTTAAGTGCTGCCTTTGACACCATTGATCATGGCATCCTGTTAAACAGACTGAGGCACTGGGTGGGGGTATCTGGTACTGCACTGAACTGGTTTGCCCAATACTTATCCCATAGGAAGTTTTGTATCTCTATAAATAAATAAGTCTTCTTTCTCAATCAACTACTGTGTGCCTCAGGTGTCAATCCTTGGACCTATTTTGTTTTCTATATATATGCTCCCTCTGGGTGATGTCATACGCAGGCATGGTATCTCCTTCCATTGTTATGCGGATGATACACAGTTATACCTGTACAGTCCACTGACCTTAGTATGCTGAGCTCATTACAGGACTGCCTTACCGACATAAAACATTGGATGTTAAATAACATCCTACAGCTTAACTCCAATAAAAAAAATCTCATAACGGTCCATGCCTAATATCAACTCATCAGGCAATCTATGTCACATTCAGACATCACTGTACCTTCCTCCGGTTTGTCCTTCCCATCGTCCTTCTCACATTCTTGTTTCAGAAAGTAGTGAGTTATGTAGAACTTAAAGTCAGCAAAATGGATATCCTGAGACCTCTCCCCCCATGTGCCATTGGTATATTCACCCTGTGTACAAAGAAAGAAGCATCATAACAGAGTGAAGGAAAAAAAAAACCTACTGGCAGCATACGGTTTTACTGGTGTTTTTCAGCTGAACATTTAAGGCTTAATAGGAACAGGAATACCTTCTGTGGGGACAACTTTTCTGTGGAGTTCCCAATCAGCTTCCAGTCATTTAGCACTTCCTCGACTTTGGACACAAACCTTTAAGTAGATAAAAACAGTTTTTCTGTTAGCAGCAGCGACATACACAGTATTCTATTATGGCATGCAACTGGATTTTGTCAGTTATGCTCTTAATTTGGTTTGCAGTCTTAAATGAGACTGAAACTGAAAATAAGGTCCTGGTAAACAGAGCTCAACTGTTGACAATACTCAATGGCAGTCTGCAGCACCTATTAAGTAATGCTGGTGTTCTTCTCAATTGTGATGTGCTCCCAGAACCTATACTAATGGCCGACACAATTTACAAATAGATTCAAAATCTGCAAACCAACTACTCATGGTCCACAAATATAAACACAAATTATGAGGGGTGGAAATAAAAAATATTATAAATATTAATAAAAAAGAAAAAAAAAGAAAGAGGTGATGAAAATGGATGTGAATTGAAAATAAAGGGGTAAAAATGGATGTGAAATAGAGTGATAAATATTCAAGTGATTTGATTAATTCAAAATCAATTTGATTAAAACAGTAGCGATAGAATGAAAACATCACTGTTTTTATTTATCAATCATAATTTACTACCCAAAATTGACATTAATCATTTAAAGAAGGGAGTCTCAAGGGTTAAAGTAACAAAAAGTAAATAAAATGGAGGTGATGAAATTGCATGTGAATTGAAATACAGAGTGGTTAAATTTAAGGTGAATTGAAATATAGAGTAATAATTTGTCAGCTCATGTGATTAACTTGATTTACCACTTATCGTTCTCAACACATCCTTCTGTCATTCATCGTTTACTGCGTGTAATTTTTGTTCTGTCCTGCTGAAACTGTGAATCACAAACCACACCCCCTGACAAAATTGTAGTATTTCATTTATGTGTTAGCAATAATTGGCAGGTATCACTGTTGGGATAAATAGTTAGCACAGCTAACTGTACATGTTAACTGAACGGGAGGGTATACTGACCATTTTTAAAGAGTCATGCACAGAAATCAAAATGTATTTGATTCATTCTTTATTGTCCGTGTAGGAAATCTGTTTTCACAGAGAGCACCTTCAACAGGAATTCTTCACACAAACTACACATAGTACACATAGTACACATATAACCCAGGAGTGCTATCATTAATTTGTCTGTGAGTTTAACTCTCTTAAAGCACAGGGTACAAATCTTGCCTTTTTGTAGAGCAGCGGTCTATATCTACAGCCAGATGGGAGAAGGGTGAAGCATGAGTTGAGAGGGTGGCTGGGATTTTGTACTATGGTAATTGCTCTATGAGCAGTGTTAGTATTAATGAGGGTTCAGAGCGGGAAGACCTATTATTTTGGAGGAGGTAAGAAATTTATTCTTATTGGTGAGAGAGAGCGTGGTGAAGTAGCAGGTAGCACAGTACAGAGGATGGGTTCAATGATACTACGGTACAGGAGAAGCAGTAGGTGTAGTTTGACTGAGAGAGTCCTGAGTTTACATATGACAAAGTCTTTGTTGACAGAGTCTGTGGATGTCTGTGATGTGTTGATCAAAACTCAGTTTATTGTCCATAGTGATGTCAAGGTACCTGAAGCTGTCAACAATTTCTACTGGCTGGCTGTTTATGGAGATGGGGCAGTGAGGGGTGGGGAGTTTACGGCATGTGTCCAGGATGAGTTCTTTTGTCTTGGTGACGTTGAGGAGGAGGTGACTGTTTTTGCACTATTGTGTGAAGACTGTCCCACTGAGGCTAAAGTTTTAAGAAGAAAGAATTTTAGTTCTCTCTCTCTCTCTCTCTCACTGCGAAGCGTGCCTCGGACCAGAGCACGCCAGCTGAGAGCTCACTCTGGGTTCGCACTGCTTTGCTGTTCAGAACGTGGAAGTGCAGTGGTCCTCCCGCTCTCTGGATGAAGTCCTCGATCTGCTGTTGACAGGAGAGCGGGAGTTGGATGGCTCTACTCTTCCCATTCATGGGTCTCCGAGCGGCTCCTCGCTTCCCCCGTTCCAACCTACGATGAGGCAGCCCTCGACGCTACTAGGTTGCCGCGGCGAGGCAAGCTAACAGGGAGCTAACGTTGAGCTAACGGATAGCTTACGTGAAGCTCACATTGCTCCACATTAGATGCGGCTAATGACATCTAGCAACCGGTTTCACTGCTGCTGGCCGACCCTCGTCGCCTGGTAAGCGCTGGGTCGAAAAAAAGCTGTGTGAAATCTTGTTGCTCCTTTTGTGTAAGTTGTTGAACAAATGCTGTCTGTGCCTGTCTCAGTCGAACCAGCCAAACCAAGCACACATTTCCCACACTGTGTGAGCCAGCTGCCGTTAGCCAGGTGGCTAATGTGCAGCTTGAAGCTCAAAGCAACAAGCAGTACACTCTGTTCATGATCAGAGGTCCCTTTCACACACCCCTCCCCACAGAAACCGTATAAGCCCACAACAGCAGACATTCGCTTCGTGTGGACAGAATATATACACACCCGGTACAGATATTTTTCTGACGAAGAAATCTCCGGCAGTGCCCGGCTTTACTATTTTTTAAGTGATGGTTATTTGGTAAGACTAGACCCAACGGGCATGAGGTAGGTAGAAAATATTCAATGTGCGAGAACGTTATATATTGACATGACATATCACTTGTAATAAATAAACATATATTGAAGGGTACATATTAACTGCCTGGTTGTTTTTAATTTAATATTTTAAATACAGCTAAATGTTGTTTCTAGAGCAGCAACATTAATGTTTACAATTGCAAAGTAACTCAATAACTTTATCAGTCATCACAAGTAGTGAGTGACGTTTAGAAAGAACATCATCAGTCTGTATCAGTCCCTCCTCCTCTCTCGCTGGCTGCAGGTAAGTTACCAGATAGGAGGAGGAGCGGAGACTACAGACCAGTCTGTGCTCCAGACAGACAGCTTTCTATTTAGCATATTTTTAACATTTGGCTAATGCCAAGCTAGCGTTAGCTGTGTTTTTATAAAACATACAGGATGAGATACTTAACCATTTCTACGTGTTTAACGCTACATCTACACGTTAACAGTAATTTGGAGCCAACTTAACCCTCACCGTATTCCCCCGCGACGGCGCAGCCTCTCGCTCTGCTGCCACTGTGTGAGCATGTGTGTGTAGGAGAAGACAGAGAGCAGGCAGCCTGATGATTTTCTTATCCAATGCGTTTCAAATTAAATCAGATTTGATGCTCGAGACATAACGTTACATCATAGGACCTGCAAGTCTCGATAGCAGTATCGATAAGCTCGAACCTTATTGATTTTCGGGTTTTGAGAAATTTTGGAACCAGGTCCTTTTGGAACCGGGTCTCGATCACCATCCCTAGAGCTTGTGCATAATCACATCATCAATGGCACGGTCCTTCTGTGCGTCCAGGGGTTCCCCCTTGGTTTACAGAAGCCAGGCTGTGTCAAATGAGCCCTTGAAGCGGTCATTACGCTTCAAGCAGACAGCTCCTATCGCCGCTCCACACACTTACGTTCCTTCTCGGCCGCTACGATCCTCCAACGAACGCCGCCTGGCTCTGCCATCCCTTCACACAAAGCAATCCCAGTCCTGGCTATTCTCATCTGTGACACTGTGCTCTTCTTCTTCTTCTTCTATCCCCTACAATGATCTTTTATTGATTGCACTTTTTTGTTTTGATTGCACTTTTTGTTAACTCTTACTTCCTTCCCTAGGTATTTACCACACACCCAAGCCCCGTTTGAGCCTTTGGAGACTGCGGACCTGAGATTCCTTTCGACTAAGGTTGCCTTGCTCCTGGCTCTGACATCGGCCAAGAGGGTCAGCGATCTGGCTGCCCTCTCTGTGGCTCTGGTGTCTTAAGATTCAGGGCGACGGCAGTTCGGCTGTTCTGCGCCCTAACCCGCCATTCATGCCTAAAAGCACTACGAGCTCCTTTCGGTCAGGGGTCATCACCCTCTCGGGTTTTTTTCCTCCCCCCCATGAGTCGGTGGAGGACGTCTGGCACCGTTCGCAGCGTCTGTTTGTGCACTACAGGGAGCGGTCCAAGGGACTTCCCCTGTCGGCGCAGTGCCTGTCTCACTGGCTGTGCAATGCCATTTCCCAGGCTTATGTGTCTGCCGGTGAGTCTCCCCCGGATGGCATCACAGCGCACTCCACGAGAGGCGTCTCCTCCTCAGTGGCGTTGCACTGTGGGATGACAGTGGACAACATCTTCACGGCGGCCTCCCAGTCGTCCCCATGCTCTTTCGTCCGTTTCTACCTGCGGGATGTCTCCCTTTTCTGTCTGACTCACTCAGTACTGAGTGTTTTGGCTGGGTGATTCTCCTTGTGAGCGTGCGGTGCGCCCTCTCCCACGGGACAGTGTGGGTTTGGTGGCCGCTGCTTACGTGACCCTGCCTGCGTCTGTAGAGCATGCGGAACCCCCCACCCAGTTTCCCAACTTACGCATGGGTCGGCCCTCCGGTGCTCGCGCACGCCAACACCAATGCCACGGCCAGTGGGCGACTGGATGGCTCATTATGGCTCTGGGCAGGTGAGCTGTGCTTGTTGGTACCGTATGGGCCAGTGAGTCGTTGACTCATCCTGCTTCACCTCTAACCCAATAGCGATAGCCTTAGAGGACGAAGCATATACGAAATAGAACAGAGTACTCGGATTCTATGAGTCTAGGCGCAGCCCTCTAAGTTGAAGGCCTCAATGGACCTTGGTTCTCAGTGCTGAAGAAAAGGCATTTGTGAGCCGAAGGCTGGGTCTCACCATTGTATATATACACAAGGTGCGGAAGTAGGAGAGGCCCACGCTGTGGGTGGGCATAGACTAAAATTCTCAGTGCCGCGCAGGCGCGCAGAAGCGGTAAACCCAATAGCGATAGCCTTAGAGGGCGAAGCCTATACTCATAGAATCCGGGTTACAGTACTTAACCCCTGTTCTCAAATCTGGACTACATTGTCCCAGAGAGGCTAAAGTTTCTTTAAAACATGGTTTTAGATTTGGGAAAAATGTATTCTGTTTGTGAAAATGAAAAAAAGGTGCTAGTTCAATGCTTTTTTCACACCAAGTAACCTGGCTGTAAGGCTCCACTGATTAGTACTCCACTGATTAGGCTGGTTAAGGTTGGGGTTATGATGGGATTAGGGTTAGCCAATCAGAGTCAGAGTAGGGGGCAGGATATGAGGCAAAATGTGTTTTCTTCAAATGATATTTGTTGGATGAATGGTTGGGAAAACGTGTAGTATATGTTATGATTTTTTATTTAAGTATTCCAGTTTTTAGCCTTTTCCTGTCTGCCATAAGCCTGTATCTGGTTGTCTTGTGTTATCCCTGTAGACATAGTAAACTCTGTAATTATCTTGCATTTTGAGTTTCTGAGTCTGTCTAAGTCCAGAGCCTTCATAATGCAAATAAATAAGAACATATTAAACACATAGTTAAACACTTAAATGCATTGATTACTGTAATGGAATGTAACTGAGTACATTTTGTACTTTTGTTGTGGAGTATATTCACAGTGTGGTAGTACTTTTACTTAAGTAAAAGATCTGAATAATTATTTCACCTCTGATTATGTTTATGATGTGTTTATATATTGTATATATTATGTATTTACTATGTACTAACTATAGACTTCATCTACAGGCATCAACAGGGGGATTGCAGAACCTCCACTCTAAGTTACATCCACATAAAACCCAATATTAACACATTAATGCATCGATGCGGCTCATTTTTGTAGCTCTAGGTACACAGTTTGGTTTAATATGGTTTCACTCTATAACAAACAAACAAAAAAATACGTAGCACTACAAATGCAGTTTATTTACTGTGATTATAAGGTTAGCATTATTGCTAACAACCTTATGCCAATAATGCCTCAACCATGGAGAGTTTTTTCGGTTGTGTCCAATCTGCCGACATTGCCTGAATGCATAACAAGTAGCAGGAAATGAGATCGGCTGGTTTGCGCGGGCAACCAGGTCTACTTTGTGGTACATTATAAAGTTTTTGCAGTAGCCCAACTTAATAAAATCGCCCTTTATAGTATTTTCACAAACTGAATAAAGGTTTCAATAATCTTTAACTGTGTTATAAAGAAACCTTAGACTGTGTGGAATCATTTAGTTCAGGTTTAAGAGCTCTAGGTATGTCAGTCCAGTGACTGTTGCTGACAACAGACTTGCCTCTCATTCCCCGGTGCTGGCAGTCAGCCTGCCGAGTGAAGACAGAGGATTTATGTGAGCGCTGAACGATTAGTTAATTCCTGCACCACAGTAGCAGAGATGTCACGTGAAAAATGAATGACTCAAACCCAGAGACCCACAGTTATGAGTCCTGAACTAATCAGTTCTGTTTCCTCTGCTGATGCCATGCAGCTGCTGTGTAACGAGTGAACAGAAGAGTCCAAGACTATTTACACATGCGTGAAAATTAACGAATTACTCACTGAGACAACCCGTTCCTCCTGAGTCACATACAAGATTAGGTCAAATGAACGAAACGTTCTTTGAACGACACAACACTACTGCTGTGTATGTCATCGAGGCTTGGCTGCTCACAGCTGGCTAAAGCGGACCGACCCGTGTCATGACAAGACAACAAGACACATAAGTAACGTTAGCCTACTCCCTGCTGTACGTATTACTTATTTTAGTAAGTATTACCAGTGTGCACTATTAATTTTAGACAGCAAATTAACGGTAAGCTCGCCTACCGTTCCCACTCTGATGCGGTGGTGAAATCGGTGATCTCAAACACCTCTGACTCGGCCTGGAACAAAAAGGAAGAGGTTAAGACTGAACATAAATCGGTTCTGTTTTTATAAGACGCGCGCTTAAACAGTTAAGCTGCACTCCTGAACTGATGTACTTTGCTAAAGAAACTCACATCACTGTCAGCAGCCATGTTAATGTCCTGTTGTCGTTCGCCCACTTCTTCGTCGATGAGGTTTTACGGCAGTTGGCATCCATGATGTTGCATTACTGCCACCTTCAGGTTTTCCCTGAGTGTCAATTCCTTTTAGAGCCGTCTTTCTGGTCCAGTCGCCTTAAAAACGAAACAACATTTTACTCCCTGGAACACTTTCTCTATATTCTATTACTTAAAGCGTATAGTGATTAAGCGTATGTGTGTTTGTGTGTTAACAAAATGAAAATATATTAAAAAGTTAAAATAAAATAATAATATATTAACGAATAAAATAAATAGATAATACTGTAAACGTGTGTGTATGTGTATATTAATAGACAGAAAAAAAAATAAATTGATTAAAAAAATAAATAAATAAAAATAAAACAGTACCAAATGTAAAAACAAAACAATTTCTAAAATATCAAACAATCAAAATAATAATAATTTGAAAATTTGTACAATTATTTATCAGTCTGAGGTTGTCCTCACTTCATGTCATGAGGAGACATATTTTGCAGCAATTATTTCACATTTGGGCATTTCTCCCAGTAAATAGGGGAGTTTCTGTGTGTCTGATATGAATTTGAATTCGGGGTATATTTGCAAAGTGTTTTTCTCTTAGTGTTTTATATTTAGGACATGAGGTTAGAAAGTGCAGCTCTGTCTCTACTTGTCCCCTGTCACACTGGGAGTAGAGTCTCTCCTCTTGAGTCTCTCCAGCTCTGTCTGTGGCGACCCTTTTCTATGGCCAAGCTGTGTTCACTCAGTCTGTATGTTGTCAACATTTTTCTTAGTTTAGGACATTTTATTGTGCTCAGGTAATTTGCCAGTATGACTTGTCTTCTTAGGGTCAGATAACATTGTGATTTACTTTGTGTTTTGGTCGTTTCTTTCCAATATTCAATATATTTTTCTTTCTGCTTGTTGATAATTTGGTTTGGTCTGCTTGAGTTGGCGTTGCTGTCCTGTTGGGGACTTGTTACTGCAGAGAGCCTCAGGACCAGCTGGCTGAGGGGACTCCTCTCTGGTTTCAGCTCTTGGTATGTTAGGGCTTTGTGATGGTTTGTCTTGGGGTTAACTGATATAAAGCAATTGTAAAATTTAATTGATCTTTTCTGTATTTTTAGTAAGAGGGGGTATTGGCCGAGCTCTGCTCTGCACAGGTTATTTGGTGTTTTTCTCTGCACCTGCTGCTTACAGAACTCGCTGTGGAAAGATTCTATAACTGTTTTGTTCCATTTGTCAAATTCATTATTAAGTTTTGGCCTCCAAATTTTGCTACCAAATAAAATTATTGGTTCTAGTACAAATTGGAAAATCTTCAATTGGAATATAGATTTTATTTTAATATAGATGTTTCTTTTTATAGCATAGAAAGCTCTCCTTGCTTTCTCCATCAGATCTTTCACGGCCATGTTGAAGTTCCCTGAGTATGTAATGTTGAGGCCAAGGTAAGTGTAGTTTTTGTATGTTGTAATTTAGTGGTGTCTAAATAGAAATTGTGTGTAACCTGATTTCTGTATTGTTTCTGAAAGATCATTATCTTAGTCTTTGCTGTGTTTACTGTCAGTGCCCAGGTCTGCAAATAAGAGTTTGCAGCAGTGGGGTAATACTGTACTCTATTACTTTCCTACTTGAGGTGCTATTTCTTTGCACTTTTACTGAGCAATCCACTAGAATCTGAAGGCTGGCTGAGCGACAAACAACTGGATGTGTGTCCCACCCATTGAAACCAAGCTTTTATCTTGTTAATTCGGAGGGCAATCTCAGCTGGGTGCAGTCAGTCTTAATTCCCAACACCTGTGTGCAATTAGACTCACACTACTTGAGTGAAACCTACCACTGAAGCGTCAGCTTCTTGTGGGAAGATCTACTTGGGTAAAGACCAGCGAGTCCACTGAGCAAGGCCGCCTAAAAGAGAAGCTTTTTCCCTTCCTGAGGCACACCTACTCACCTAAAGCTGCCAGCTACAACTACACTCAGGCCATGTGCTACTATACTATTCCTATTGTCTCCGGTCCACACAAGAGGTATGCCATCAGGCACAGAAATCAGGCACTCCTCAAACCTTTAAAACAGGCACCACCCACATCTGTTTACTTGTCTGTTGGGTCATGGAACTGCCAGTCGGCAGTCAACAAAGCTGACTTTATCACTGCTTATGCTAACACATTATCTCTATAATATGCCTCCTTCGAATACCATGTTTTCTTTGTGTCCGCTCCAGTAAAGGTCTCAGGTGTGATTGTCATATACCGTCCACCAGGACAAATGGGTAACTTTGTGGAGGAGCTAGACACACTCCTGTCTTCGATCCCAGAGCATGACTGTCCCCTACTTGTCCTCGGTGACATGAACATTCACTTAGACAACTCGAAATCAGCAGACTTCCTGTCTCTGATTCAGTCCTTTGATCTAACACGGGTTCTCAGCCCCCGATCCACAAAGCTGGCAAGGTGCTTGACCTCGTTCTTGTCTGAAACTGTGCCACAGATTGCCTAACAGTCACACCTCTACATGTGTCAGACCACTATTTCATTCAGTTCACGGTATACCTACAGGAAAAGGCCATTCTTCCAACACCATTTGTCTCACAATGCCACAACCTCCGCAACCTGTCTCCCGCTCACTTTGCCTCAGTGGTAGCTTCCGCTCTACCTTCCCTCAACACATTTTCCTCACTTGAGATCAATGATGCCACACAATCTCTGTGCTCTACACTAAGCTTGTGCCTGGATAGCCTGTGTGCTCTATCCACCAAGCCTGCTCGCCCAAACCAGTCCCACCTGGGTATCATCCGTGGGCTCCGTACTGATCTCAGAGCAAGAAAGAAAATGGCGAAAAAGCAAAGACCCAGCCAACCTTAAGGGCTACCAATTGCTCCTATCCTTCTCAACAAGCATCAGCACTGCCAAAACTGCATTCTATAAGAACAGAATTAGCAGTGCCACTGACTCAAGGAAATTATTTTCTACTTTTAAAGCGCTACTAAATCCTCCTCCACCTCACCACCCACAAACTTGTCTGCTGATACCTTTGCTGCCTTCTTCACAGGCAAAGTGGCGGCTATAACTATTCATTTCTCTGAAACATTCAAACTCAACCATTGTATCAGTCCTACTACATCTTTTCCTCTGCCATCCCAGGTCAGTGGTTCTTCACTCTCCTCGTTTACTCCTCTCACAGAGAGCGAAGTATCAGAACTCTTGACCCAATCCTTGGTTCTTATCCTGCTTGACCTATCAACTGCCTTTGACACAGTCAACCACAGGATCCTGCTATCCACTCTCTCAGCAATGGGTATCTTGAGTAAAGCACTCCTGGGGTTCGAATCCTACCTCTCGGGGGCGTTCCTACAATGTTTTGTGGCAAGAACATTTATCCTCCTCCCACTACCTCCCCACAGGGGTGCCCCAAGGCTCAGTGCTTGGGCCCCTTCTCTTCTCTTCTCGCCACACAAATCATAAACATGGATAATCCTTCTACAAAGGACCTTATGCTTGCCATAACCTCACTCAAACAGGACTTTCACACAAAAATTGACGGTGTACTGATGGAAATAAGAAATGTCCAAACGGACATTAAAGACTGCAGTGGGCGTATCATGGAGGCCGAAGTGCGGATATCTAGCGCAGAAGACGAGATACAAATCCTGAAAGAAACTATCGCAAACCTTGAGAGCAAGACAAAAAACCTCACTAACAAAATTGAAGATTTAGAAGGGAGGAGCAGACGTAACAACTTGCGTGTGCTGGGCATACCCGAGAAAGAAGAAGGCAATGACACCTGTTCCTTTATGGAAAAATGGATAGCGGATATTCTGAAGATAACGCCACCGGTTCTAGAGAGAGCGCACCGGATAACAGCGAATCAAAGTTCCGCCAAGTACCCGAGAACTATTATCGTCAAGTGCTTGAACTACAAGGACCGAGAAAACATCTTGAAAGCTGCGCGGATACGGAAAGAGGTGACGTACCAAAACAACAAAGTAAGATTTCTTCCTGACCTGCCAATGGAGGTGTATAAACAACAGAGGAGGTACGACGGCGTGAGGAAGCAGCTGCGGGAACTCGGACTGGACAAACACCGGATCATATACCCCGCACGGCTTTCGCTGACCAATGATGACCGCACTGTCGTCTTCAATACACCAGCTGATGTTGACAAGTACATCAAGAAGATGGAACCAGTGACTGAGGATGGCTAATCTAAGTGTGCCTTGATGAGAACTCTTATTACACTTACAAACTCTTTAGATGTGGCTGCTGGAAATTAAGAGGTGTGTAGGGCTTAATTTTGTTGGAAACTTGGAAATTTACGACCTATATACTTGATTCTTTTTAAAGTACAAGTATAAAAAATAGCCCAGTTTAAAGCTCTATTTTGTTTTATTTATTTTAATTCCTTTTCTGCTTAAAGAGTAATTAGTCGCTTCTCAAGTGAGTACTGAAAGCTACGTGCATGTAGGCTATCACATATTCTGTTTCTAGTTGATAGATAAAATAACTTACCGGGATTATTCTTTGTATATAGATAAGCAACTGAGGTGAGTTCTGGTTTACAGGAGAATAGTTCCTCAGTATAGCGTGGACCTATTCCCGACAGTGGAGGGAAGTTATTCAGGGGTTTGGGGGAGCCTGTATGTTCTAGTGGTTCAGGCCTGGGTTTTGGGTGGGTCGCTCTCTTCCTTTTCTTTTTGGTTTTATTCTAAATGGTACCCCTTTATAGGTTTTATGGCTGTGCTTGCACTAAGGTAAGGTACCTCTTCTTATGTTAACCATTATATTGTAACAAATGACAGATGTTTTGGTTGAATGTGTCTCTTGGAATTGTAGAACAAGTAGTAGGTTGAATAAAACAGCTAAGAGCCAAAATTGTGTTCCTACAGGAAACACACATGCTAGATCATGAGACAATCAAAATTAAACGTAGATGTCCAGGTCAGGTAATATCTTCAGCTTTTTCTTCTAATTCCAGAGGAGTTATAACTATGATACATAAGTCTATTCCTTTACGCATTGACAAAATAACCAAAGACCCCAACGGTAGATTTCTAATTGTACAGGGAAATATTCTATCAACTCGGATTAATCTGGTTAATGTGTATGGACCTAATGATGATAATGCAGATTTCTATAATAATTTATTTTTGAGAAACTCTACAATGCCCGGAAAGCACATTGTGGCAGGTGATTTTAATTGTGTTTTGCAGCCCAGCAAGGATCGGTCATCCGGTATCGATAACACTCACATAAGGTATAGGAAAGCTTTACAACACTTTATAAAGGAACTCAACCTGGTGGATATATGGAG